GAAAAACAAGCACTGATTTGATTTTTGTATCTATAGAAGAATCAACTTACAGGCAAAGGCATATATGCCCTTTGAGGCATTCTGTATTTTCCCAGAGAAGTCTCCACCCATAGTCTGTGAAGAGAAAAGGCCAGAGGTCAGGTGTGGTACCAACAAGTCAGCCTACCTGATCTCAGCCCCAAGAACAGACTAGGAAGTTACCATAGATATGCTCCAACGTCAGCAAGATGATTAGAACACAGTGCAACTCAGGATAAAATTAATTTGCTGCTTCCCTATCAGTTCGGAAAGAAGATCTGGACTACACAAAGCAACAGCTGAATATCTGTAAGGCTCTGGCTGCAGAGTCAAAGTAGTTGTTCCTCCAAGGAAAATGTATGGCCTTGACAGTGCAACCAAACAGCCTCTGGTCAGAAGAGACAAAGCCTCATTTCTTCGGACATAAGTTGAGTAACATTTTTGCTGCTACTTGCAAAAGTTAACATTTGACATCAAAATGCAAATTTAGAGCAGACAATATCTTTAACTCCTTTGACCAAGGTACCTTTAATCCCAACAACATTTTCAGTTAGTGCTGTTCTAGTGACCTGCTCTACCAACCTGTAGATGAGACGGAGTCAATTATTTAAAACACAGCTCAATCTGCCAGTTTAATGTGCAACACTCCAGTCTCAAGGTAGGGCTGCTGTCCTTGAACTAGTTCTGCCCTAGGATTGGGAAGGGAAAGTAACTTCATCACCTATGATTTTAGTGCCTCACAGTTGAATTCCTGTAACAACACTCAGATGAACAGGTTTGTCTGCCCTTTCCAGTGCAATGAAGGCAGCCTGTGTTCAGACTTCTATAAGCTTCCAAATTTTCTTCTGGATTACAGGAAGAGATCTACAGCTCACTACGTAACACTAACAATAGGAGATCCTGGCCTAAAACTTGGCTTTAACACCAGAAAAACAGCAACTACCTGAGCAGCAGGTTAGCCTGGTACAATCAAGATCAACAGTTGTTTGAGGTAAAGGGATTTTGCAGAACAGGACAGCAGATTTGACTCCACTACCATACTGTGAGGATCCTTCCTCACAGTTCCCAGAAGGAGAATGTTAAAGACAACACAGCTGTTGAAAATTTAGAGCATGTCACCTTTGAGACAGAAAACAGCTTTCACATCTCTTGAAACTGCAACTGGTAGACTAGAAGGAGTAGTTAGAAAGCAAATACGCTAAATTTGCCCTCTTCACAAATTAAGTGTTTATGTGCATCAAGAGGCTTATTCTTATATAATTGCTGAAGTCTTTGGAATGCCTCCAAGCTCAAAACACAGGATAGGCACTAGCCTTTGTCTCAGATGTAGGATAACAGCCCCACTTTATAGACAAGTGTTAAGAAGCAACAGCCATTTGAAGCAAGGAATAGCCATGACTAAAACTGACATGTCAGGACATCCTAAGTCTTTAAAAAGCCAGCTATGGAGGGACTTTAGTACAAATTTTCCTTAAAACCTCAAAGGAAACCTACTAATATGTAAAGCTACAGAAGAAGAGTTAACATCTAACAAAGTATTAGCTTTAAGAGATCCAAACGCCTTGTAACAACCCTACTCATGATCAACATCAAGGATCTTTAAAATACTTCAAAGCTAGAAAAATTGAGACCTTGGAGAAAAACTTACATGTGTCTTGCCACTGCCTGTCTGGCCATATGCAAAGCATGTCGCTTTTCCACCCTCAAAGATGGTCTCTACAAGAGGTCTAGCAGTGAATCTGGATATTTAGAAGGTAAAAAAGAAAAAAATAAGGCAAACATTTCACATCCTAATTCATTGTCATCAGTTTCTCTTAAAAAAAAATTAAATAAAAGCAAATCCTTAGGAAATCAGCAAGGCCATGCCAAAAACAAGCTTTAGACTTTTCAGTCCTTTGGCTTCCTCCAAAAGGGATTTTAATACTTATTTCAGGTAGCAGTTTCTTTAAGCCAGAATGCTATCTACCCATAGCTCCCTGCTTTTATCTGAAAGCTGTTCCTGATAAGCAGGAAGCATTACCTGTACACCATTTCATTAGAAGAGGTTTCATCAAATGAAAAGTCAAATCTAAATGTCTGGGTGTCGAGGTATTTGGTTAGGTCTACTTTCTGCTTTGGCTCATGCACCATCAGGACACACTTGCTTGGAACAGTAACCACATCACACTCCTTTTTTTGAAGTTCTGTTGACAGAAAAACACCATCAGTTTTAACAAGAATGAAAAATGTCAAACTGCTCCAAGATAGAGCTGCTTGGTCAGTACACTCACCTTGCCTATTGAGAGGGCGCTTCCTCACACAGACACAAATCCTATGTTCTTCTATCTAAAAGAAAAGTAAGAAAACAAATAATTATTTCCCACTTGCACTCACACCTACTTCATGTTAGAGAGATGCAATGCCCCCCTCACATCTACTTTTCTGTGTGCTGATCAGTGTTGCCTCTGCTACTGATCAGACCCTCTCATGAAGGGATGTCAGTCTTAAAGGGCATTCAATGCAAAAGAAACACTGCAAATAATTGACCTTTATGTAGCATTCTCCAACATATCAAGTGGAAGTGCTGCTATGCTATAGAAAGTGCCTCAAATATTCTGTAGCAGAAATAGTAGAAAGTTTAGACCCCAGTCAGCTTTTCAGAAAAGTTTGTGATATCAGTACTGCAGCTATGGTCAAATTCATGCAAATTAATACTTTCATTTACCCCAGAGGTCTTTTTTGACCCAGAGTTCTTTACTGATGCAATAAGTTAAGCTATTTGTGCAGCACAGCTACACATCAGGTGAGCTGGGAAGTGCATGTGCCATTGGGTGAGGCAGAAGGTAACAGGCTCCTCTCCTGTCACACAGCAATATGTACATTTTTTTTCAATTGCTGAAGATCCTGACCAAGCCTGGTTTTTCTAGTTTTTGACCTCTACTTTTGCTCCTCCACTTTTTGACCTAGTTTGAAAATCACTTATTATATGATTTACCCATATTAACACTTTCTGTAATAGGGCAACGGTCCATTTTAAATTATGCCTATACTTACAATGGCTCTGCCATTTACAAACTCTGAAAGACACTGATGCTCACAAATCATTGTGTGATAACTGTTGAAGGGCAAGTTCTTCACTAGTGTCATATGCACAGTAAAGCAAGGCAGCTTAGCCCTAGAAGGGGAAGGCAAGTGACCTCACACATACCACCAGGTGCCTCAAGCTCACAATATGCTCAGAGGATTTCCAAGGTGCAGTGATATACCAGCTGCTCAATACCAAATTTTCAGTACAAAATGAAGTCTGTCTACAGGCTGCAGTTATTAGGCTCAGTATTTACTTACTGGATCATCTACAGATATTGGCTGGCAGTTTAAAGTTGCTCTGAATTCCTTGATCATACGTGCAAACTCCCAGTTTGGACAGCTGCTGTCAAACTCCTGCATGGAAAAACCATGGATGTGAGGGTAATTAACCTGTTACAGCAAAAAAGCCCCAGAACCTACTAAGCAGTCAGCTGTATGTAATTAGAAGCATTTCACAAGATTCTGAACTTTCTGAAACTAGAATCAATCCATCCTTACGTACAACCTCATAAGAACAAAGCCCGTCCAAAATACATTTGTTTTAGTTTCAGCTATTGTGGTACACTGTCCCATAGAATTTCCCCTGACAGGTGTATTGTAGAGTACCTGCGCTCGTTTTATCCTGATTTCACTGATTTGAGCTCTTTTTTCTTCTCTCTTGCTTTTCATTTTCTCCATCTCTTTCACAATGTTAGATCTTCTCCGAACTAGATAAAATGAAAACAGTTCATTGGACTAAATTTTCATACTAGGTTTTAAAGTACAAGACAAATATTTCAGCTCCTCCAGGTTGCTGGCAGACTAACTTGTACAGGAAACGATCATCTTCAGAAGGATGGTCATGAATTTTGCAGCACTTCCTTCCCAAACCAGATCTACCTACCAGGGAAACTGCCCTGGAAGTCATGCTACCACTCTACAGCAAAGGCAGCACTTCTGAGGCAGTACCAGTATAACAGAGTTACACATTTTTAATTAAAAAAATACTCAAGATATTCAATCTTGCTGCCAAAGTCACCTTTTCAAAGCTTTAGTCTCGGAGTATACAAAGCAGCAATCACATAGTGATTCATTGCTGACTGACGAGTCAGTCTTTATCCACTGCTCCCTGGTACCTGGGCTCCCTGAAGTGCTCGTTCTAGCAGCAGGCAGATGATTCTCTGTATTTTCATTTACACCTGGCAGTGAGGCTTCTGGAACACAGCCCAGCCTGCTAGCCCTGGTTCGGCCAGCTGCAGAAAGAAGCCAGACCAAAACCAATAATTAAATCTCAAAGATCAAGAATGATTCTGCAATCACATCCAGATCAGAAGAGAGAACTAGCTAAAACCTGTGGCAAATGTGCAAGTAAGCTTTTAACTTCTTTGCCAATCACCAACTTTTATTCAATGCTGCAAATCAAGGCCTCACCAATTAGAGAAGAATTTAGTATCAAGCCTCTTATTTCATTGTTTTTGCAGAACTTAACATGCCCTCAGCTATTCATAGGGTAGCCTGGTAAAATAACTAGAATTTCATAATTCAAGGAGGCTCAAGTTTCTGCTTTACTCAACCCATATAGGTAAAACTGTGACTGGTATATTCACAGAGCGTGTTGTCAGCAGTATTAAGGCACTTCTCTTCCCACTCCAGTCCCACATTGAACAGATACCACATCCACCCAACATGCACAACTGCAGCTCTCTGGCTGATAAAGTACATCATTATGCACAGCATTGTTTCCAAAGTCCTTTGGAAACCCCTTCAGGTAGGAGCTCTGGGTATTTGCATAGTGGCAGACCTCTAGGTCTCTTGTTTTATCTATGAAGGAGTACAGGTTGCTCATGCCCCTGGGATTTGCAATTTGCCTAACTGAATGCACACAAAGCACCTTGTTTCACAGTGAGAGTTCACTGCGTTTTTTCTCCACTCACCAGGAACTGACAAATATTTTCTGGCTTGCACAGAAGTGCTGGGATCTACCATCATCTCATCTTCCTGGAGGCTGCACTGAGACTCTGTGATAGCAGACATCCTGGAACGGCCACGCACAGCTTTGGAAACAGGAATCCAGGGACACTCAGACACTTGCAATTGATGGAGTGCTCACAAAGTGCAGAACAGTGAGGAATAAGGTGTGGTTAAAAGGACCTTTTCCAATAACAAAGTGCAGGACAAAGCAGTGCAGGTGGGTGAAAAGTGATCATTAAATACACCACTATAGAAAAGCAAACAGTTCATTCCAGGTTTGCAATTCCAATGAATTTCTCTCAGATACCACTAAGGATTCACATAAGGTTATGGCAGTTGTAGCATCTTGATACTTAGGAAGGAGGAAGTTACAAGTCAGAACTGGGAAAGCCTCTGAAGCTTCACACTTGCAGGGCACTTAACACTTGTGAATTAACTCTGTGATGGTGACAGGGCACTGGGGTGGGCAGCATCGTGCCCACCCACCTTCAGGGCACCCACACACAGACTGTGTGTGGTGCACAGTGAACTGGGAGCCCCATAACACTGAATTCAGCTGAAAGACTCTGTATAATCACGACATAAAACCTTTGAAAAAGGTCCTTTTGTAGGCAATTCTCCATTGTCACATGCCAGGGTATTTTTTTCATTGAGACCAAGTCTAGGAAAGCTTCCTAGGAGAAGGATTGGAACATTCCCCTCAAAAAATATGTAAAAAACCAAAAAGCAAATCTTATACGAAAAAGAAATCATGATGTGCAAGATGGAACTCCCTTCACCTGTTATGACTAGCAATTACCAGAATTAATCACCATGATGTCAAAGGACACCAGATCTGTTTGAAACCAAGTGTTCATTTAAAATTTGAATCAAATTCCTTAGAACCATACCCACAAAATTCAGTGCTTCTGTCTGTTAACTCTTTACCTGGAATCTTCTGCTCATCTACAGAGACATTAGGTGCGACTGCTACAATTTTAGAAACAAAAAGCATCAGTTTCATTATACTCAAGAATGGCATTTCTATTCCATTTGGTCTTGTCACACATGCCCAGACCTGTTCTCATCAGATACACAGCAGCACTGTTTCTGTAAATGCTGGTGCTCCTGGACAGGCAGATTAACTGGAGGATTTGCTGCATCTAAACGGGTCTGATTTGAGTGATTCTGGTATGTGTGGATATTCAGCATCCTCCAAAATTCCTATTGATTTGTAGGACTGAGGCAATACCTATTTCTTAATGGATTCTGAAAGCAGTGCTTCTACTTCTCTCATTTCCTGGGTCAGATGGAGGCAGACACCTCCTGATCTTCTTTAATTTGTTTAGTCTAAGAGCAAGTCTGAAGCCAGTGTTAGCTTTCTAATTGGTGCAGTGCAGGGTTTGCAACAGGACAGATACTCTGACACTGGTGGGCATTAGCTAGTTATAACAACAAAAATTATTTCAGGAATACTGAAAACACTGCTTCTCTCCTGTGCTCTGAGCAGCTCTTCAGGGACCTCCAGTAGGACAGGCAACAGGTATTTCAGATTCTGTACTTCAGGAGAGCTGTGACCTTTGCAAGGACATCTTTCCATCAGTCAGTGACTGGATTAACACACCTTTGTTTTCCCAGCTGGCTACCCAGCTCCATTTACTGACCTGACTATAGACAGTCACGACTTTACTGCATCATTTTACTTGTCAGTTCACAAAATTTATGGAGTTCTCTGAATTTGAGGAAAGTCAGGATACTCTGGTACAGAACAGCTCTTTACACATTAAGCTTTTTGGACTACTCCTGCCTCTCCCATGCCAGGGGATTTATACGGTTTTCTTCTGGGACCAGCTTCCCTGTCTTGCATTGCATGCAACAGAAAAGGCCAGACAAGCCCAGATGTTTTGTTTACAGCTCAGTTGTATGGAGAAGCACAAGTTTTGGCTAACTATGCACTTTAAGAGAATAATTAAATTAGTAAACATTCAACCTCAGCATCAGGTAGTGTATTACAAATAGACCTGTAAATGCTGCCACTTGCAGTTCAAAACGCCAAAAGAGTCAACTAATAAGTTAAAAGAAGGTAGAAAACATGGGAGTTTTCTGATTCCTGACACCTCAGGAAGAACAATTCCTTAGCAATCCCACACTGACATCTCTATTTTCTCTTCTGGCTTTGCTCACCACATTGTACTGACATGCAATCTCTGAGCTGGGGCACACCAGCTGGCACTTTGGCTGCCTGCTCTGAAACGTCTCCAAGCATAAAGCTCTAGTTATTGTCTAGGGAGACCGTGTGAAGATGAGACATCAATTTGTCACGCTATTTCTTTTGTGTCCTTTCCACTCTCCTTTTGACACCTTTAATCTTAATAACTGCCACTTAACTTCTGTTGTTTGTGGCATTTGCAAAACTCCATAAGGAACTTTAAAATTCCCTGCAGCAGTAATTGTCTAGTGGCATTTAAAGCACGGGTTAACTACAGCAATGCTGCAGAAAAGGACAACACGTCAACAAACCCCAGCTTGTGGGAACAGGACAGCAACCTGCCAGCAAAGTCGCTGCCCACAGGAGTCCAAAACATTGGTATGAAGTGGTATCCTCTTTGTTAGCACTGAATGAGAAGCCTTATGATGCACTAAAGTAGAATGTTGTGAAAGACCAGCACTGTTCCACAGGGATATAGCAGAGGAAAGAAAAAAAAAAAAAAACCGCACTTGCTCACCTTCCCGTGGAGCAGGAATTTTTGAAAGGGTTGTTCTACGCTTCTGTTTCTGAAAAACAATGAATACTGTAAGCAATCAGAGTAAGCAGCAAACACCTAGCACAGCTCTACAGAGCAACATTGATACAACAAGAATTTCTGACCAAAGCCTAACTATGAGACAGAAAAGGCACGTTAGACACCTCAGACTATAAGACTGAGGGTATTATAAATAACAAGACCTATGCTGTTGATGCTGTAGTACCTTAGGAGAGACTAAATTATTTTAAAGCACTTACCTGTACAGTTACATTGTCTTGCAAAGGGACGTTCTCCTTCACATCAGCAGCAGGTAGTTCTGATAATTCAGGATTTACTGCTATCACATCATTAATACCAATCTACAAGAGCAAAGGCAGGGTTTTACAGAGTGAAATATTGCTGCTAGCACTCAGTACATGGTTTTTTCCTAATCCTGGCTTTCAGTACAGGCAAACAAACCTTACCCACCATCCTTTAAATGTTAAGTTAAAGTTGCCTGGAAGGGCAAGACAGTAGTTCTGTTCCTATTCTGTTTGAATAGTCTGGTACATGCAAATATGCCAGTGAAATGTGCTAGTTAAGCCATTTACCCTCGTCTGCCAAACACCACACACCTCTGCAGGTGCCATAGAGCACTTCTGAAGAAATGGGCAAAGCCCATTTGGTATCCACTGGTCTAATCTCTCACTGCTAATCTTAGTAAATCTCAGCAGCTCTGTGACTTCTGTGCTAGGAGAGCATTAAGTGTTTACTGTGCGATTGCACTTACTGAAATAAACGTCAAAGAGCTGCTTAGACTTTAGGAAAAGAAGGTTTCAGCATTTAATCCGTAACTTAATTCACCTGCATCTTCACTTGCTGTTGCAAGCAATTGGACCTGGGGCCAATTATCACCTCCTGACTAACCCTCCCCTGAAATAATAATCCTGCCTTCACCAGGGTACCCTGGCACAGGCAGAGAAGGGGCAGGCAGCCAAGGGCAGGCTCATGACAAATGCAGCAAGTCACTCCCCATTCCGTTTTTCAAACCTTTCTCCACTGAAGAGCTTGAAAGCACTCGTGCACAAAAAGTTCTGGTATTGCAGCAGCTATGACTGGAATTGGCCTAACGAGGTAACACAAGCACCACTCCAGGAAGTTCTTAGCTAATCAACTTCCAAATTACTTAAATAAGAGTCCATAAAAAGAGAAAAAAATCAAGTAGGCTCTGTAAAGTGCAAAGAAACTACTTTTAGCATAAGTGAAGCAATCTACAAAATTTGGTTTATGTGGAAGTGGTTAGCAGCTAATTTGAAAGTGAATTAGCTCAGAAACATGTACATGGACAAAATAATTTCTAAGTGTCTGTAAGCACATACACAGTGTATATTCATAGGCACATAAGAAAATCACTGGATTTCGAAGAGCCTTCATAAAGATTTAATATCCTAACACATACATGAAATTCAGCCAGCGATTATATCTGATTTTTCACATTGTTTATATTTGAATGCAGCAGGCATATGCATACCTTTGATTTCAAAGAACCAACCAATAACAGCTTTTAAGATTTTCACTAAACTCCAGAGTGCACATTTCCAGGGGAACCAGGAGGAAAAGTACATTTGCTCAGTGACAAGGGGAGATTTTGTTCAGTGTCAGTACTTCAGCTACATCAGCCTCAAATGCCCCAACCCCAGCTCATCTCACATAGTATTTATTCCATATCAGTGCAGAGATTCAGGGAATCAAACCCAGCCCTCTTAACGTAGTACTTTAGCAGTGGCACATTTTAAGGGAAGTCGGAAAGCACAGAAAGCCAACAAATAGCCCACAGAGCTGAAAAACTGGCATTTCGGGACATTCAAAACGAGCGAGAGGCCGAACACCCCCTTGCTCCCTCTGAAAGGCTTGGGCACCGCAGCTTTCGCGTCCCACCTTGGCACATCAGTGTCATGGCTTTAATTACGTATAGAACGAGCACACCACGGAGCCAGCGGTAGCAGCGTAGGACAAGCGCTGCCCACCCAGCGGGGAGAAGGGCAGAGCCGAGCTGGGCCGTGCATGAGCCCGGGCTTTCCGAGGCACATCCCGCCGGGAGCGCTGGAGCGCCCCGGGAAGGAAGGGGCCGCGGGCAGCTGCCACTCACCTCCTTGCCCTTGGTGATGCCGGCCTCAGACCACTCCACCAGCACGGAGCACTGCTCCTCTTTCACCGCGCTCACCGTCGCCTTATGGATTAAACCTGGAAAAGGCCGGCGTTGAGTCCCAGCCCGACCGCCCCACGCCGCCGGGAGCCCCGCGGGCGGAGGCAGACGGGACCCCGCAGACTCCCTGCTCCCCACCCCTCACCATTGCTCCGCTGGATGTTAACGACGAGGCCGGGGTAGACATTGCGGCACAGGCGGGAGTCCATGGCACAGGCACCGGGACAGGACCCGCGTCCCGCCCCAGCAGCGAAACACCCGCCCGGCAACCGCCGCCGGTTTAAACCCCGCGCGCCGGCGTGCCGCGGGGG